ATGCTAGCCTTTGTGTACTACCTAGCAGCCTTATTGCTCCCACTTGCTTCGTCTTTGTCCAGCACGTCACCGAGCCATATGTTATCATGGGTCTAATAACCGTTGTATATAACCATAGAGTCATTTTGGGGTTTAGCCCCCAATTCTTACCGCACATTCTTCTACATCTGCCCAGGGACATAGTAGCTTTCTGTGTGGTTTTTATAATATGAGTATTCCATGTAAGCCTATGATCAAAATATACCCCAAGGTATTCTGTTTCTTTGGCAAATGAAATCTCTGTTCTTCCCAGCACCGGTGGTTTTAGGCCTTGTAGTGCTGTTTTCTTGGTAAAGTTGACGATTTGTGTTTTCTGAGCATTGACTATCAGTCTCTCTTATTTACACCAGTCGTCAACTATATTTAGGGCTGCTTGCATTCTCCCAGACACCACCTGAGCAAACCTGCCTCTGACGACAATTGCTATATCGTCAGCATATCCTAGACAATAAAAGCCTTCTGTTGACAAATTTCTGAGGAGATCATCTACCAAGGTTGCCCAAAGTAGAGGGGACAGAACTCCTCCTTGTGGACAGCCTCCACCTACTTTTGCTTTGATGGTTGCTTTACCCAGAGTGGACATTACTATCCTATTCTCTAGGGATGCCCTTATCCATCTGCATATTACCGCAGGTGCACCTCGTCTACTCATAGCTCCTATCAAAGAGCCGGTGGTAACTTTATTAAATGCCCCTTCTATATCTAAGAAGGCGGCCAATGCTATCTCTTTGTCTTCCATTGAGTTTGAGATAAACCTATTTAGATCATCCAAGGCAGAGTCCGTAGATTTACCAGGTTGGTATGTGTTTTCCGGTTTCTCTGACAAAAATTTTTTATAGACGAACTTTTAATGTACATGGATTACCCACAGAGAAGAATTATTCCAGTTTTTGCAACAATTTCACAGGAAACTTTTACACTTGGATTTATTTTAGGATGTGCGTCTAAGATGTACTAGAATACACATTTAATCTGTTTGTTCCTCGCTGGGGGATTCGGATTCGAAGAAGAACTCACCCCCATCAGTCATTTCGAAGAATGGTCGTTTGAATATGGAAGCTGTGTTGGTTTCCTGTAAACTTTAGCTACATATCCTATATTCTTCTTTGTGATTACCTTATCCAGAAACAATAGTGAGTAGTTCTTTTCCTTTTCCATTTCCTTTTACATGGTGAATTCACCCTTCTTTACAATTATTGTCTATCAAAAATTTGTTCTGTGCTTCTAGCCTGTAAAGTAAAATAGTGAACACACTATCTACATCTATCTCCACGATACTGTGATTCTTGGTCATATTTAGGCCAAGGACTGGCTATTTCTCTAGGAGAAATACCAGGTGCATCGCACATCATCGATGACATGATATTAGTGTTTAATGATCCCAAAAACTCCTGAATAATGTGTTTGCACTTATTTTATATCGAATTTTCACAAAACTTCAGAAGACGCAGCCCAGGTGCACCAGATGCCTCGAAGACCATCGCCGTAATGATATTTGTATTCAGTGACCACAAAAACCCAGGGGTAGTAGTATTGAATTCATTTCCGTCAATTATTTCCGACTTACAAATATACAATTTTTCATCACTTCGAAATGCACTTTGGATAATGCATTTTCCTTGTTCAATAATACACTTTTTTTGTCCACATCATCATTTTTGTTCACAAAATTTCCGGACGAATCGAGAGTTTTGAGATTCGTTTAGATTCATTTAACTGCATGAATTTCGTAGGTTTTGGGCTTTTTACTACTATATTGCCTCGCCTATGTTGTTAGTGCACAATTTTACTAACTCCATTATATGAGTTGTTGATACATTCAGTATTGTTGTACTTTTTAATGTTCTGCCCTTCTCTAGTTTGGTTGTTTTATTTTTCAATCAGCAATAGGTAGATTATCTTCAGGAATTCATTTTTATGTTTATTTGTGATTCAGCATATATTGTAGGTCATAGCTTTTTCCATGATGTTGTTTGCATGATTAAGTCAGGTGAAAGACAGCTCCGTGCCTAAGCGGGAGGTAATACAACCTCATTTAAATTAATTTTGAGGCTTTGCCACCTGCATCATGTTACCATCCTGAGAAATAATATAAATGATAAATTTTTTTTTCTATAAGGACTTTCCCTTTTGAAAAACATTTTAATCTATCCGTTTGCAATGAAGGTGTGCAGTTTGCTGGTAAGAATATTGCTTGTACCATGACTTGATCTAAGTTTTTGTTAATTTGAACGACCTGGAGCATTTTTAAGTACAAGTAAAGTTTATATGGGCAAGTTTATAAACTTTTTACTTCTAGGACAAAGTTTTTATAAAACCATTCACTAAATACTTCTCTTGTGACTCATATTTTATATTGATTCTTATAGCAGACTGACAGATAGACGTTTTTGAAAGCTATGGGATGTTTAGCTTTACCAATCGCTAACAAATTCAGTTTGTGTATTTCAGTAGCATTTGAACACTGTATAAACGAAAATCTATCTTTATTCAGTTTATGAATAATGAACAAATGAACTTGAAGGTAACAATGAAAATTACTACGACGAAAACTACAACGTAATTGCTATTCATTTAACTGTTATTACAAAAGTATTTTTTATTTCTGTCGTAGAATTTTAGAAGAAGCAAACTTAGCCAAACAAAACAATGAATTAAAGTCATGATGACTAGGAATACTCAGATTACATAATTATTATATTTTTTTTAACAATTAGATCATACCTCATCGATTACCATTATTTATTTACTTATTTTTATTAAGAACCCATTTCAAGTGTCTGGTCAATACATTAAATAATCTCTTCTTAGTAACATTAAACAACTTCCGTATGCAAACTGTTAAAAAAACTTCTAATTTTAAGTAGCAATAACCTTGCACGTCCACATTCATAAAAAATTATTTATTGCTTTAGACTATTTTTGGTAAAATTGCTTATAAGAGTTGTATATTTGCTAGACTTAGGAAGCAAAAATATATTTTACCCCCGAAACTAATTAACTTAAGTATATAATGATAAATCTCTACAAAAAATCACAAACATTTAAATCAATAATTAATCTAAATTATTTAAAAAATGATATACACTTAGGTCAAAAATAAAAGCAGCCGTGTAATTTTTAGTTTAATTCTCATGTTTCGTGAAAATTTTTAAGCTGATACTACCTTCAAATGTCAGGATTTGTAAATGTTTTATAAACCAGAAACGTGCAAGGCACAACTTACAGAAGTTATTATTATGGAAGAAATTTAATTCCTTAAGATTAAAATTATGACGTTTCAATTCCCTTAATTCTAAAAACTTGTACTGACGAAACTTTATTTTCATGTTAACACTCTGAGAAATTAATTTTTTTATCTGAATGTAGGCAAGTATCCATATTTCCCATGAACACGTGCAGTTATCGCCGTAATGACTTCACTTGAGGTCGACCCTAACCATTAACCATAGTCTCTTCCAAGATTTAACAAGCTTTGGCTATAATTAAAATTAAAGTGTTAAGATTTTCCAATATGAACAGAATCATCGCTTTTACCAGATTAGTTTATACCCCTCCCCAAAAATAAATTAGTCTTGGAAAAAAGTTATAAAAGCAAGCGATACAGCCTATTTCGATTATCTAATTTCTAGTGTCCTATCGAAATACATTGTGACCGAGCCCATTCTTTACTGCCGCTTTTCCGTGAGGTTCCGTCTTTTGTCACCATCGGGTTATTTGCCAACGAAGCATGAAGAAATTTTGAAAGCATCAAGCTTTTCAATACATTCGAATATCCACCTGTTTTTGTCTGTTTTTTCTGCCTTTGAATGTCGTTGAACTGTTAGTGTACACCTACATTGGAACCGTATTTCTCCCGATCCGATATCGGGTGACGTCGGCCGATTGAAAACAAACTCAAGGTATTAAATCATAGTGTCTATACTGCTTCGTCATATAAGACGTCATTTCGACATTTCGTCATTTCGACGTCGGTCGACGTCGCCCGATATCGGATCGGGAGAAATACGGTTCCAATGTAGGTGTACACTTAGTGTACACATGTACACTATGAAGTGAAGACTGCGGGTCAGTAGGTAAGTTGACCTGTGGATAGAGTGATAAGCTTATTTATTACGGTACATTTGAGTAGAGTTTGACAACGTGTGGTTATTATCCTTGATCCCTATCGATGAAGCTTCGAATTGAAGTCACCAGTGGCGACGAATTTTGCTTCAAGTATTTTAAAAAGGCAGTGAGATCATTTTTCTTTATTGGTTTATTTAATGGGCAATATACAGCAGACGAAATCAGTTGTCCATGCCAGTCTTCTATTGATATGGAGGTGGCCTGTATATTTATTTCTCTAGTTCTGCTTGTTTCATGGTGTCTATTACTATTTCTTGCTATTATTGTAGTCCCGCCGTGAGCTTTGCTTTGTGGGTATTCAGTGGATTAGATTTGATAATTTTGAACCTTAAAACAACCTTTATTTGTCATATATGCCTCAGAAATCAGCATGCCGTTAATGTTGTGTTGGGAAATAAATATTTTTTACTCCAATCTTTAGATCTTTAAACATTTAGTTTGAAGATATTACTAATGAGAATAAATAAAGGCTAAGTACGAAGCCTTGGTGTAATCCTACTTTCAAATGAACACTTTATATTTCTCTCGCACACCTGTCTTAACACTGGTTGTTACTCCCTGATACATGTCTTTTCCAATCTTTACATATTCACCAAGACCTTCTTTCTTATTGAGAGCCCATCACAGAATGTCTGGAGGAACTGTATCATATGCTTTCTCAAGATCAATGAATGTCATATGAGCGTTTGTTTCAATGTAAATCAGTTGTTTGTTGTTTTCTGTAAATTATTTTAATAGAAATAAAACGGAATCGCCGCCTATGATCAGTTTTTTTCACAGTCAAAAATATATAAAATAAATTTGCAATTCTAAAAATTTACATTATTTCCAAAATGTTCAGACTAGTAACTTTATTCTGTGTTGTTGCTCTAGTAGCACATTTTGCATCAGCAGTAGAGGTAAGCTACGTTCATTATATATATATATATTATATATATATATATATATATATATATATATATATATATATATATATATATATATTTATGTTATTGGTTTGTTTTAGCCAACAGGAGAGCTAGCAAGATTAGGCAAAGCTTTACATGTCGCATGTAGCACTAAAGCTAGTATTTCTGAAGAAGAAATTGGAAAGCTGAAGGCAGGAGTATTCACCGGTGATGATAAATCCAAGGTAAGTTAATAATTCAGTAAATATTTATTGATATCAAGTTTTCATGTGATCTGCTGGTTGCGCTGGCATTCAAAAGATGATACGTAACCACAGAAATGAAGGTCTTTTAGTATGTAATGTTTTAACCATATCTTCGGAATTTATTTCTTTGTTTGTTTCCGGAACATTTTACTTCAGAAAATGCCATAATTTTAATATAATTTCTGTTATATTGGAGAAGGCCTTTTCATTACTATGGACTGTAAAGAGTTTCGAACATTTCATGCCTGAAGGCCTTTTCTATCAGGATTATTTCCTGCATTATTTGACCATTACACCACCAGTGCAACCAGTATTACTTTATACCCATTACCTTTTTCTATACAGGCCAGGATCTCTTATTTAAGGACTTCCCACCTCTAGGAGGCATGTACCTTATATTGATTAATTATCCCTTTTTATATTTATTACATATTCCGATATTTTTACTACTTTAGTTACTCAAATGCGTTTTACTTATAATGTGGGAAAGACTTAAGAGGGAGAAATACATTTTTGCATTCTTTTGTATACAAGGACAACTATGTCTATGTGGTTGTAAACTTGTCTATGTGGTTGTAAAGAGTCTATGTGGATTTTTATTTAGTTTTGCAATTGTCAATGAGACATCATTTAAATCTCAAAATCCAGTGACGTGCTACCGGGACGCTTTAAGCTAGCAGAAGTCAAAGATACGTTCCTTCACAGGAACAGAAGTGTCATTAATCGTTTTGTGGTTAAGGTTAAGAAACGGGTGATGTTGCTGAACGTCATACAGGCCTTACAAGGATAACCAACCAGATTAAATACCATTTTATTACGTTGCAGGCTAAGACTGCATCACAATTACAAATGAGGCTGTAAGAGACCATCAGGTGTTTGTAAGTGGCCAAACTATTAGAAATAAACTGCATGAAGTAGGGTTTAATGTGAGAATGCCTCTGTTATCCAGAGCAAATCACGCTCATCGACTTCGATGGTCACTTCTTCTTCACGTGCCATATCAGAGTTATCCGACGTTGGCGATCACCACTGCGAAGGCTTCTCGATCTTCTGCCACATGGAATAATTGTTCTGCATTTGATATCTCAGTCCATTCACGTGGAGGCCATACACTATACTAATTTAAGCTAAAGACTACTTTGTTATATATATATATATATATATATATATATATAAATATATATATATATATATATATATATATATATATATTTATATATATATTTATATATATATATATATATATATATTTATATATATATATATATATATATAAATATATATATATATATATATATATATATATATATATATACATGTACATTTTCTTTTAATAATTTGCTAACCATTTTATTTTTATATTTCAGAATTACCTGTTCTGCATCTACAATAGCGCTAAAGTTGTAAGTATTTTATCTATATTTTGTTTATTATCATGAAACAAGATACTTTATTAATGTAATAAGAGGAAATAATAATAAACGAATAATGAAAAATGTACAAAAATGAAATTGATCAGAAAAAAGCATAATAAACTGTTTTAAATAGGAAAATGCAATAAGAAGAAACCATCAGTTGAAAAAAAACTAGAGAATAATATGATTATTTGTTTAAACCACGGTTGAAAGACATGGTACTCTTCCGTGATACAATTCTTGGAAAAATTGAATTACGGAAGAGTACCAAGCTTTGTATTTAGCAAGATTAATTAAAAAAAGGAAAACACAGCAATAGTTAATAAACAGTTCGTTTATTTTTAGTTTTCCTAGCTACAAAATATTCTCCTCAAACAAGATGTTTGTGATTACATTGATACTAGTTTTTGTTTCATTTTAACCTATTTTTACTATTATTTAATTGCAAATTGCACATCTTTTAAATTTGATTATTTTAGATTAAAGACGATGGGGATTTGGATTATGAAATAATTGAAAAGCTAGCTCCAGAAGCAATCAAAGCTACGGCACGAGGAGTCCTCAAGGGATGCTTTGACAAGCAAAAGGGTAAGCTTTATAGTAATTGTATTTATATTAGTAGTAAAGGCTATCTCATTCCTGGCTACTACAACTTCATCAGTGACAGCTGCTAAAGTCCGTGGAGGGTATTGAAATCCAAGATATGCATCCTATCATATCCCAGACATGTTCAACTGGAGACAGATAAGGTACATGGTGTTGTGTTGACATGTGGCAGAAAAATTGGATTTTGGACAGCGTTTAGATATGAAATATGATGGGGCTCCACTACTTCTTGAATATAGCGTCGGGCTGTCATATTGCCTCTGATGAAAATTAGTGGTAATCTCATACCACAAGTAATAGCATCTCATATTTACTTCCACGGTATTATGATCGTCAAATTGTGGGTCACGTCTCTCACAACGTCACCTTCTCACTCTTGCTCGACCATCATGCATCACCAACATAAGCGAGATTTATCACTACAGATCATCTGAATTTATCCTTTATCCTTAGTTCCTCAGAATTCTTTCTTTACACCAGAGCAAACTGTTATGATTATGCTATGCACAGAATCCCTTGCCTAGTATCATCGGCTTTCCTGAGTTCATACTCGTTCACATTGCTTTATAATATGTAAGAATTTATTGGTCAAAATTAAAATTTAAAAAAGTGGTTAATAATTATTCCCAGTGGTTATTAATTACCAACGCTATATTTTAAAAAACTTACAATTAAAATGGTATAAAATTTTTAAAAATTATCCAAAATGGATTTATAAATTTTCAGAACGTTTTCGATCATATCACATCATCATCAGTGAAAAACGTCTATAAAGTAGTTGGAACTAGCCATATAATGAGGTCAGATGACCCTGAAATTATATAATTTGGAGATTAAAAAAATAATCAATTGTGACCATTAAGTACTTGTCTCCTCTTTCTCTCTGTCATCTTAAATGAACCAAGAAGATCCACTGTAAGTCGTTCAAAACATTATTCACAAAGATATTGCGCCATTTTACTACAACCTCTTGTCCTAGGACCTTTTCTACCATTACACAAATCGCATTTCTTACACCAATCTTCTACATTTCGGCACCAATTGATCGAGTAAAATCTGTCTCGAATTCTGGCAAGTGTATTTTTGACCCCAAAATGTCCTTCTGCTATGAACTTCCTGCAACACGCTTTTAATGTGCGATTTTGGTAGTACCAATTGCTTAACGGTACGTACTCTATCGAGACTTTCCCACTTCCGATATATTAGACCATTTGAAAAGGTATAGAGATTACCGTTATAGCCTCAGTTAGGGGTAGATCTAGACATATGCCTTAAGGTAGGAAAACATCCAATGAAACACCAACCAAAAGACATAAAAAAATAAACTTAAATGACGTACAAGACAAAAATAATAGGTTTTCTTTAATTTTGGACATTTTTGGGGAAATTTCCCCATTTACTTTCACTTTGTATCGGTCCCTGACCACAGAATGCCTTCATAGTTCCAGTATATTTTTTTATTTCCTACCAAATAGGTATTAGTCCATTTTTAAGCCATTCTCGTATGACTTTTAAAACATTATCTTCTTTTTGACACTTTTTAAGGCTTTCCAGGGAAGTTTAATCATTATCTTCTTCATTATTATTCATCATTACTAACTGTAGAGACTTACTTCTTCGGTTACATTTTTTTCTTCAAGCTGACACTAGCTTTTTACCTGTAACTTTATTCTTCCTGTCTGAGGTTAGTTGTGGGGAATCGATTTCTCAGAGAACTATATCTACTATTATTTCTAGGGGGACTATGTGGGAAGCTTCTGGATGTCGATCTAGGCGAACTTTTAATCTCATTATTTGTTTTGTTCTGTTTATATAAAGCTTACGAGACATTTTAGGACATTTGGATGGCATCTAAAACGTTCTAGATTTTTAATATTTCTTCTTTTTCATTAAGGGATTTTTTTATCCAAGCTAAAATATTCCTAACCCCAAAGATGCCTGTCAAAGATTACAGATGTGTCTGTGACTAACGTTCCGGCTAATGTGCTCGGTAGAACTTGGCAATATTTGGATGATGAAATTATAATTTCATTACATCCCCTTCCCAGAGGAGAAAATATTCATGTTTTTAAAAGTTTGGCAATCTTCTTCATCGTCTTCATCTTGTTTTTCGTCGTCAGGTGTTATGGTGTTAATGTTGGATTCAGCTTGGATATATGGAATAGATTGGACTCTGATTTTCTTCGGTTCACGTTTAATCTATAAATTAAATTCGACAATTTTTTTGTATTTCATATGGTCCTTTTTTTCAATTAGTTAATATTTTTTCTGTATAATTTATTTCCATTTTCCACAAATACCAAATCATCTATTTCTCTAATATTTCTCTAATAACATTGGTAAAGGCAACTCTTTCGAAAGTTGAGTGAAAAGTCAAGGTACAAAGCAGAGTGTCAAAGTTTTTTCAAACACATACTGGATTACTCCAGGGAGACAGTCTATCGTGCCTATTGTTTAACATCGTGCTAGAAAGAGCCATAGAGAATTCGGGCATAATAATCAGAGGTACGATCATCAATCGAAGTGTGCAGATTTTGGCCTACGCAGATGACATTGACATAGTAACACGGACAAAAAAAGACCTGATACAGGATTTTTAAAAATTAGAAAAAGCTGCGAAGACAATGGCACTGCAGGTCAACGAATCCAAATCAAAATACATGAAGGTCACGAACAGCACACAAATAGTGGCACCACAAGATCTGGTGACAAAAGCACACACATTCGAAGGGGTCTCGGAGTTTATATATCTTGGAACACAACTAAATAACAGCAACCGAGTAAGCGTAGAAATTAAGAGAAGAATATATCTGGCGAACAGAGCTTACTTTGGACTAAAGCAGTTCTTAACATCACACATAATTAGCAGAAAAACCAAGATACTAATATATGAAACTCTTATTAAACCTGTCCTGACATACGCGTCAGAGACATGGACTATGGTAAAAAGGGACGAAGAACTGTTAGGCCGCTTTGAAATAAGAATACTCAGACAAATATACGGAGAAGTACAAGAAAGCAGGATATGGCGCAGGCACTACAATTTTGAGCTGTATCAATGCTATGAAAAATGCAACATCGTCCGGTCTATTAAAATTAATAGACTAAGGTGGCTAGGACACCTATGAAAGAATGGACACTGGAGACCTCCAAAGGCAGATATTATATCAAGAGCCAGTACGAACCAGGAAGAGCGGCAAGCCAAGATCTAGATTTTAAACTCAAGTCGAAGATGACTTGAGGAATCTAGGGGTCACAAATTGTAAATTCAGAGCGAAATATAGGGAGGAATGAAGACTAATTCTTGAACAGGCCAACACTCATCCAGGGTTGTAGAGCCAAAGATGATGATGATCTAGAGCAATATTTCTATTACGTATCCGATTTTTCTCAGAAGTTAATTTTTTTAGTTTAATTGGCAACATTGTAATATTTTTGCCATACATTAAGTATAATGATGCGTAACTAGTGACAGTATGTTCTTGACTGAAAATATTTAAAAAGGAATAATAATTTCTAAAATAAATACCAATTACTAATTTTATGGCAGTGTATAAACTAAAATTGAAATTTTGTTTTAGATTCCAAATTGGTTGACAAATTATATCATATGCAAAAGTGTGTCTTCGATACGAGTCCCATGGTAAATATTAAAAATATTATAAACAATATTTATATTAAATGTTTTCTTCCTTATTGTTTATTGCCGAAGTCCTCAATGTGAGGATATTGAATATAATTAATTATATGAATGTTATTGTGTACATTGTACCTACACACTAAATTCTTTTTCTTCCCTAAGTTAATGGCACTGGCAAAGCCAAAAGGCCAGTCATGACACTAAATTTTAACATTATAACTTTGAATATTTACATTGGAGCAATTCTTTTGCTGGGTATTTATGCCCATTCATCAATTTTTATAACTCTTTATCACAGTTTTTATTATTTTTAACATTTCATTCATTGTAATAGAAGAATAATTTATTTTAATTTATAGGGCTTTGTATAGTTTAAATTTGGTTACCTTTTATTAACTATTTTTTAAAATTATATACTTCAACTAAGTGAACTGTTTTGTAATTAACTTTTAGTTACTTTGTAGGTACATGCTATTCTGAAGTATGTTACTGTTTTAAAAAATAAGATCATCTATCTTTTCCTTTAATTTTCCTTAATACTAGGAGATATAATCCAGTAAAGTGGATATACCATTGTAGTTAACAAAATGGTAACAATTTCTTGTAATTTGATATTTTATCTATTATGCCTTATTTCATCCATTATTCGACATAATTTTGTTCTTTGTCTCTCCCATTGTCCTTTGTTCAGTACTGTTGTCTTCCATATTGTTCCAGTATGTTTTTGTTTGTATCAACACTCCTTTTAATTACAGATCTTCCTTATTCTGTTTCTATTTTTGTCCTCAGCAGTTCTATATCCTCTCTAAAGACATTCTGCAAACTGATTTTTGATTATTTCCTTACAAACTGGCACCAACAGTAGGATTAAAGTGATGCTTGTGAAGTCGATTTCTCATTGAGTTATTATAGCCTCAGTGTGAAATCGAAATCGATATGTCTCACTAGTATAGTTAAACCATAATAACTTTTAAAGAAAAATATGACGTGTTTTTGGTTAAGAATTATAAAGATTTTTAATTTGTAACTAGAAATATTTTCTAATATTGTTTTTTATTTTTTAGCACTACATTATCTTGTAAGATACCTAGAATCCCTACCTTGGAATTATTTACACTGACACAATTTATAATTTTTGTAAAAATATTATTTTTGTTAATAAAATTGAAAATATATTTTGTAGTTTTTCGATTATATAGAGACACAACTTGGAATATTTTGTCAAAATTAATGGAACGCTGATAAATACCAACAGATACGGAGATTACAGTTATATTGAACGATAAATTAAAAAGGTTGCAATGTCTCCCTAAGGCCATTAACTCCTTCCGCTAAAGGCCATTTTTTGAGGTAGGGAGTTGTATACCATACAACATAGAAAAATTAACCCGGTTTAATTTATTTATGGCAACCTTAGATATAGTATGC